CCCCTCACCGTGCCCAAGGAGAGGCGCGCTCTGCGCCTTCCCGGCCTGGCCCCGGAGGCAATGTGCACCGCTCCCGGGCCCAGGATGGGGCCTGGCCAGGGGCCGTGGACACTCCGAGCTGAACAATCAGCGTGGGGGGTGGGGGGGGGAATCGCGTGGGATGAGGATGAGGAGGAGGCAATGAGAGAGGAGGAGGAGGGAGGAGAGGGGAGGGGGGGAGGAGGGCGGGGAGGAGGGCGAGGAGGAAGGGGGAAGGAATGGGGAGGGGAGGTAGGAGGAGGAGGCGGAGGAGGAGAGGGGGAGAGGATGATGAGGTCGGAGGAGGAGGGGGGGAGGTAGGAGGGGAGGACGGAGGATGAGGAGGAGGACGACGAGGAGGAGGAGGAGGAGGGGGAGGAGGAGGACGACGAGGAGGAGCAGATCGCGAGGGGAAGTTCGAACGAACCGCTCTTCGCGGGGCGTGCGGGGTTGCATCGCGCTCGGGGTGGAGCTGGGTGCGCTTTGAGGGGGGGAAAGGGCAGGACGGGCCGCCTGGCGGGGCGGAGCGGGGCGGGAGCTTATGTTCCAAGACGTCTGGCGCCGTGCTGTCTGCGGTGCGCGGCCCCAGGAGGTCCCGCCCTCCTTCCGTCTCCTCCTCCTCCTCCTCCTCCTCCTCCGTCCTCCTCCTCCTCCGTCCTCCTCCTCCTCCTCCTCCGTCCTCCTCCTCCGTCCTCCTCCGTCCTCCTCCGCCCTCCTCCGTCCACCTCCGTTCTCCGCCATTCCTTTTTCTTATAGATAACTTCTCCCTGTCGCACCCCGAGGCCAGTTCTTAGGGCGGGCTGGGCGTTTCGCCTGAGACTTCCTCACCTGAAGCATAAGAAAGATTAACCGTTTCACAAATGGAAGGCGGGTCGCTTTCAAAACTGGGGCCTTCGGTGGAGCTCCCTATGGGGCCACAAAACGCTGTGCTGGGCGCGGGGGACGCATGCGGCCCCCCCACGGGGGCCTTCGGTGGAGCTCCCTATGGGGCCACGAAACGCTGCCCTGAGCGTGGGGGACGCATGCGCCCCCCCCCCCCCCCCACTGGGGCCTTCGGTGGAGCTCCCTATGGGGCCACAAAACGCTGTGCTGGGCGTGGGGGAAAAATGCGGCCCCCCCCTCTGGGGCCTTCGGTGGAGCTCCCTGTGGGGCCACGAAACGCTGCCCTGAGCGTGGGGGACGCATGCGCCCCCCCCCACTCGGGCCTTCGGTGGAGCTCCCTATGGGGCCACGAAACGAATCAGCCATGGCGATGCCGATGATGTTGATGTTGATGTTGATGTTGATGTTGATGTTGATGTTGTTGTTGCTGTTGTTGATGATGATGATGATGATGATGATGATGATGATGATGATGATGATGATGATGAGTATGAGTATGATGGTGATGATGATGATGATGATGATGATGATGATGATGATGATGCTTATGATTATGATGATGACGACGATGATGATGACGACGACGACGACGATGATGATGATGGTGATGGTGATGGTGATGGTGATGATGGGAGGAGGGGGTGAGCTGAGACATGCGGAGAGCAAAGGCAAGGATGGGGGGAGGGAGGAGAAGGAGAGGAGGAGGAAGGAGGAAGGTGAGACGCGGGGCGCTGTCTCTTCAAAACGAGGACCCAACACCACAGGATGGTTGGGAACTATAAAACAACTAAAGAACACTGAGCCCCTCCAAAACGAAACGGACTCCTTCTTCAGCGCCCCGACTGTATTGCGATAACTAAGTTCTAAAAAGGGCCCGCCGTCCATTCGTGGCACGGTTGCACATGTTCTTAAGACGAGCATGCGCGGCGCAGAGGCGAGAGCCACATTCTCGCTGGAAGCAGGGGGGGGGATAACACTTCCAGGGGCGGCAGCGATATACTGTCGCTGAGCGGAGGGAGGGGGGCGAGAATCATTTCCCAAGAGTAGATCTCGTCGCCCGACCTCGTAGAGCTCGCCTGCAAGGTAGCCCGTCTGGAGGTAGTCGGTCAGCCCGTGCTCCGAGTGCTGCGGGGCAGTGCACCACCACATCGGGCGGCGCGAGCCGGCGGGGACGGCGCACTTGTTTGGGCCATGGGGCGGGGAGCTCCGATCCGAGGGGCGAGGCGGGGAATCTGGACCTCCAACAGATTGACACACCAGGACAGGAGGAGGAGGAGGAGGAGGAGGCTCAGACGCTGGCTCAGCGAGAAACAGCAGAAACGGCAGGAGGAGGAGGAGGAGGGGGAGGATGTGTGTCGTTGTCGTGTGGTCGTCGTTTGCGGCCTCTGGGGGGCCCTCGCCGGGCCCCCGGGGCTGTCGAGCGAGAGTTCAGAACGAGAGATCGGCCCCGGGGAGAGGGTCGGGGCTTCCAATGACCCCGCACTGAACAGCAAAGCAAGGACTGCACAAAAAACCAAGGAATGCAAAAAAAACAAAAAACAAAAAAAAACAAACAAAAAAAAACAAACGAATGATTGCAAAAAAAAAATCCTTCGTTCAAGATGCCCGCCGTGCCCAGGCATGGAAAGAGACCTAGAGTTCAGAACCTTGGCAGCATCAGCACGCTTTGTTTCACTGTTGACCTCCAAGGGCCGTTGGCGGCCCCCGGGACGACCAAGAACGGACCTGGGACGGAACGCCCGTGCCGACTAAATCACCAGCGGACCAGACAGAACCGACGGGGAGCGGCCAGCTGCAAAGAAGCCGAACAGAACGAATCACGGACACCCTTGTCCTTCCTGCTCCTCCTCTTCCTTCTCCTCTTCCTCCTCCTCCTCCTAGTCTTCCTCCTCCTCCTCCTAGTCTTCCTCCTCCTCCTCCTCCTTTAGGGGACCTTCCACAAACAACCCAACCCTGAGACCCCAGGACGCCCATTGATGTTTAGTGTGGGAACGTCACGCTTTCCATAACAAAACCATCGAAACCCAAGAAGCCAAGGGCACCCTGGAGGCAAGCAGGGTGTTTCTTGGCATGGGTCTCCACTGTAAAAGACGTTCATATATTAATTGTTGGAGCTCCACGCGGATCTATTGGATCGGCACGGATTTCTTGGACCAGAGGCGGTGCCAGGGGGGCCCGAGCGCCTGAAGTCGGGCCTGTCCCCCTACAGGGGGATTTTCGACGAAAAATCAAAAGTACCCCAAAGATGATCAAAAAATAATCCAAAAATGGTCTGGGGACTATTGTTGAATTATTTTTGAGTATTGTTTGACCTTCTTGGGGTATTTTGGGGGTATCTTTTATTTTTCGTCGAAAATCCCCCCGTAAGGGGACACGCCCGACATAACCCGAGCCCCGACGCTCGCCCTTTGCCCGACCGTCTCGCACGCCGCCCCGCCCGCGTGGAGGCGCCCGAAACAGGCACGCGGCCCGGCGACGGCCCGGCCGCCTTCGTCTTCTGCGCGGCGCTGCAGCCTACCAGCCTCGAACGTATCCCCATCCCTAAGATTGACACGCCAAAAGGCGATGACAATCTTTAGGGATTCGCCCTCTGCCGCCCGCTGCAGGGGAGGCGCGGAGGAGCGCGAAACCCTCGGCCTCGCGGACGACCCACCACGGGCACCCACCGAGCTGCTGCAAGACGAAGCCGGGATCGGGGCAAAGTTTGACCGGGATAAAAATCATGCTCGGTTTTTCAAATCACCGGGGGCGCCACCGAACGGGCCTGCCACGCCTTGGGCACCACCGGCTTCGCGAGGGAAGGAATGCGCCCCGGCGCGAATGAGGCCACGGCGCGTATTTGGCCACGCGCGCGCCCGAGGGAATTCAGCGCCAAGCGCCTTTCACTCCAGAAGACCCGACGTCAACAAAACAAACTTGAGGCCCCAAGGGGGCCCCAAAGAGGCGGACCGCCAAAACAATCACGCAACCAGCGCAACGAAAAACACGTGTAAATGTCAAAAAAACGCAGCACTCAGTGACCTCTACGGCCACGCAACACCGCGAGAATGCCCAAGAAGGCATTGGAAAAGGAGCCCGCGCGCGGCCTGGCGACTTCCCCGCGCCGCCCCAAGGTTCCCGAAGCGCGCCGAAATAACCGTAGAGAAAACCCCGGAAAGTCTTTGGAAGGCCCCCGCACCATGCAATATCCGCCACCGAATAATCTCGCGGACACCTAGCGCGCACGCGCGGGCGTCCACCATGGATGCCCAACTCCGGTTTCGGAGACAATCGCGCGCAACCGCCCGGGGGTTTCAGCAACCTCGCGATTGGCCCAGGTGCCCGCGGGCCCCAGGGAATCGAGGACCGAGTTCGCGACTCCGGAAGCATCGGGCGCGGCGCCAGCCAGTCGCTCGTCTCTGGCTGACAGTGGGACGCCTGGAGATCCGGTAAAACATGAGGAACCACTTTTCAGAGATTCACAAAACCAGAAAACGGGGCGCGCCAAATTCTCGCGTCCGAACTTCTCTGAGAATCTCTGAAAATCTCTGAACTAGACACCCCGCGTGAAACATTCCCATAAACCCAAAACCTCGGAGCTGGCCGAAACTCTCTGAGAGTTTTTCGGCACGCGAAATTTGGCGCGCCCGGATTTCCCGTTCCGAGATTCTCTGAAATCGGCCTCCGGCGGCGCCCAGCAGGTCCTCACGCGCCGAGGGTGGGGGCCGTGGACATCGCAGGCCGCGATGGTCCCGACCACGAGGTCCTTCCTCCTGCCCCTCGACGAGTCCACGCTCATGGACACGCTCTCTGCGCTGAGCGTGGACCGCGTTATCCGCCGGTACTTCTGCGCGACGACAGCCAACTGGCCGCCGACGGACAAGGCGATTCTTTTCCGAGCTGCGCGTGCCACCGATACCGTACAATAGCCCCGAGCTCGGGGAGAAACACTTTCGAAGCATTTTCAGGCCGCCAGCGTCGTGGCTGCCGACCCGCCGCGCGCCGACCGCGAGACTAGCTGGGCCCACTACGTCCACGGCGGCGGGCGGGCGTCCACGAGAGCTGTCGCGACGGT